CTTATTATAATCTATCACTCAATGGGGCTAAGTAGGAAGATTGTAACACAAATCTTAAAAGGTTTTATAATAAAAAACCTATAGCCAGATATTGGGGTGAAAGCTGAAAGATCAGAGAAGTGGAACAGCCAGCCACTAGCTTGCCTCTACAAAATCATCAGCCTCAAGAGAAGGAGTTCCTGTTTCCTCACGCCTTATATACCTTTCTGTGTCCTGCCATGCTTGGGATTAAAGGCGTGTGTCACCACTGCCTGGTTCTGTTTCTCTCATGTAGCCCAGTGTGGCCGTGAACTCACAGAGATCCAGACCTACCTCCCGAGTGATAAGATTAAAGGTGTGTGCCACCACTGCTTGGCTTCTATGTCTAATTTACTGACTGGCTCTGCCCTCTTATCCCCGGTAAGCTTTATTGGGGTACACAGTATATCACCACAGAAGATTATTGTGCAAGACAGGCTTGAGACACATAGTAACTTCTAGGCCAGCCTGGGCTATCTAACGAGACTCTGACTCAAATATAACAAAATATATTTAAACGTCTCTGATTGCATTATAAAAGTAAATTAGAGAGGTGGTAGCAGTTCTGCAGTAGAAAATTGCTGAGGGATGTGCAGTGGTCTAATTTAAGAGGAACATTCATGAGGATTTTATATTTTAGGGTTTTGAGGTGGCTTATTCTTGTCGTCAGAGTTATTGCAGTTGTCCAGGTAAAAGAGGCTTAGATTCCAAAATGCAGGAATGATGACTTGAAGGAGGAAATTTGGCAAAAATGTAAGAGTTAGGGGAGAGAGTGGGTAAAATTGAGCTTGCTCATCCAGGAAGACAAGCAGATGAGGGATGTGATTAATGAATTAGGCTACTGTGTTGATCTATGAGAAATTCTCATTGAGGCTTCCTAGCTGGTGGTTTTCAAAAACAGGCTGTGCCCTGAGAGTCTCTTACATTTACTTTTTAAATCATTATTGTTGGTAATTATGATGATCAAAGGAAGAAGCTTCAACAAGGAATCTCAGGGGCCACTACTGTGTAGGGAGCTAACATAGCACCTGGAGCCAAAAAGATGCTCTGGAGGAGCTGAGTCCCTCGTTCCAAGGGATGATGATGATGTGAATGGTCAGTAGTGTCATATTCCATAAATTATGGCAGGACAAAAAACATGGAAAGGTAGAGTCCAGCACTTAGATTTAGGAGACTGGGTTATGGTTGAGAGCCCTCTAGTGGAAGGGACCAGGGTGTTTAAGAGTCTGATAGCAGCCCATAAAGCTGAAGTTTGGAAGGTGGTGTGAATGGAGCCTCAAGACTGTTTCCACTTCTTTTGGATACAAGGGGCTTACTTTCAGGGATTGTTTTGGTCATTGTATGTAAATTGTATGTAATTTGTCTTTGCTTCTGCCCTACCAGAGGTAGAAAAGAGGAGGGTTTGAAGAGCTGAAACTTTATTATATAGAGATTTTCTTCCACAGCAGGGAGGGTAGTGTCAGGGAATTTTTCTCCCAAGGGAAGTGGCAGAGCTGACAAGCAGTAAAGAGCAGCTCCTGGGACCTGAATGCCAAGTCCCACAGGGCTTTTAAACCAGCCTGGAAGGTGGGTCAAGGACCCTTGAGAAAAACGGTTTCCAAGTGTGACCTTTGCTGTTTATCCGTCTGTTTTACAATACCCCCTTTGGAAAGCGGCTTGCTTTACTGGATTATATTCAGCATTATTGTCTGAACCTGAGGTGAGTCAGGAGGACAGCCTGTATCACTTGCTCCTCTCTTTGTTTTATTGAATTCATAATTGCACAGAGAGAAAATGTGACGACATGTTTTTAAGTTGATCACATGAATTGCAGACAAGAGGCAGAAGTGACCTTCTTTTTATGAGTCTTCATTCACTTTAATTGCAGCATTTCTAAAAGAATCAACAGAAACTATGATAGTCAGTGTCAGAATCCAGAAATTACAGCATTTATAGAAAGATCAAGGAAGCTTTAGAGGTGGAAATATAGGAAAAGTTTACAATTTTAGATTTATAGTGTGCGCCTGTAAGCTTTTGATTATATAAATATAAATGTAATACAGACCTATAAGATTATATATTCATAAAAGTGTATACTTTCTGATTTATATCAAGGGTATGTTTACATATTAATGTATATTCTATCTACCTTTTAATTTTAAAAACTTGTAGGGCTCTTTTTAAATTTTATGTACAGTACGTGATAACTTGACTTTTATAAAGTAGAGACACCCACCTTCCACATCAGTAAAGGGCGACACTGGCTGCTGTATAAACACACCTTCATCCTCAACCTTTTCTTTTCCTACATGGGTACCAGTATGTTGATTTGCATCCCTATAGATAATATAGTGTATGGCTTTTGGGTGTCTGCTGTTTGGGAAACAGCATTGTTTCTGTGAAATCTACCCAGTGGGTACATATACTAGTAGTTTATCCTCTTCCTGTTCCTATGGCAGTCTAAAGTAGAAAACACAGATATCATAGTGTATGCATTCTGTAGCTGATGCATTCGGCTTTTGAGCCAGGGACTGCTCTGTGTAAATGCACATTTATGAGGCTTCTGGTGCATGTCTTTTGAGTAGATTTGTGCTGGATAAGTACTCATTCCTGTGGGCTGTATATCCAGAGTTCACCTTTCATGGATACTGTCGATTTGTTTCTGAAAATAGCTGCCATAGATGAACCCCATGGTCATGCTTGCACTAGGTATTAATGGTTTATTGTTGTTAGATTAGGTTTGGGGTTTTTGTAGCTTTAAAAGAAACATTAAATGTATGGCAGTGTTTTGTCATAAAAATAAATAGACTGTAGCTTGATATCCTTTGGATGGGCTTTTGCCCTCTGACACAGCATGGCCAGCTAACACTCCTACCTTGTGGGTTCTATGGTTCAGTATGTGTGTGTTCTAATGTGAGGAAGATTTAATGTTGGAGCAAGCTAACAGATCTCATACATCCTTTTTCTAACTATTTCCAACTAACAATATTTTTTTAACTTCCCTGGTTTTTTTTTTAACCGATGTGGTAACAGCTGGAAATCCATAATTTTATTTGGTTGGCAAGAAAATGGATTTTGATTTCGTGGAAACAGGGTTTCTCTGTGTAGCCCTGACTGTTCTGGAACTCACCTGGTAGACCAGGCTGGCCTCAAACTCAAGAGATCTGCCTGCCTCTGCCTCCCAAGTTCTGGGATTAAAGGCGGACACCACCACTGCCCAGCCATTTTCTTCTAGTATAAAAAAAGATACTATGATGCCTGAAACTAGATTTTGTTGAAGATATTGCCAAACACAGCTAATTTAATTATCCAGAATAATCAGCGTTCCTTTCTAGCAAGCACTCAGCACTAGCTGCTAGCGCCTGCGTCACATGGATCTTCTGCCACTGGGAAACAGCTCTGGGAATTACTTCAAAAAGAGTCTAGAGAAGCAGCAGCTCCCACAAGTTGTCCTCTGACCTTGTGCTCTGGACACACACACACACACACACACACACACACACACACACACACGTGTGGGCATAAGAAGAAAAGTAAAACTTTTTAGTCAGAGAACTTTCCTTCATAGTCTACCTTTTAGCTTCTCCTCCCATGTTCTCAATGGTCGTCTTCTAATAGGAATAGCTAAGTGTCTAAAAAACCCCGAGGCCTTGCTTTTAGTTAACATTTGATAATGTCATGGTAGCCTGCCTCCTGTTGAGCACCAAAGCTTTAAACAGCTGTTGGCACAGTGGTGTTTGGCTGTGTCCCATTGCCACGTGAGTATGTTAACCCTTTGGAGCAGTGGTTCTCGACCTTCCTAACACTGCGACCCTTTAATACAGTTCTTCATGTTGTGGTGACCCCCAACCTTAAATTCCATTGCTATTTCATAACTGGAATTTTGCTACTGTTATGAATCATAATGTAAATATCTGATAAGCAGCATATTAGGATCATGATCCACAGGTTGAGAACCACTGCTTGTCATAGCCAGATTATCTTTTGGAAATGTCTTGTTTCTTTTCTTTTTTTTTTTTCCCCTGATTTCTCTGCTTTTGCCAGTTGCATATTGGGTTTTAAGAATATAATGACCAGGCCGGGCGGTGGTGGCGCACGCCTTTAATCCCAGCACTCGGGAGGCAGAGCCAGGTGGATCTCTGTGAGTTCGAGGCCAGCCTGGGCTACCAAGTGAGTTCCAGGAAAGGCGCAAAGCTACACAGAGAAACCCTGTCTCAAAAAAAACAAAAACAAAAACAAAAACAAAAAAAAAGAATATAATGACCAGAATAAGTGTGTGATTCTTGAAAGTTTTGAAACATTCTTTTGACTTTATATGTATAAGTCATCCACATCTCTAAGTAATTGCTAACAAGAAGCTTCTAGCAAGAGCATAGCACTACTGTTGTATAGTCTGTTCTGTTTGGAAGGGAAGTCATGTCTGGAAACTGGTTTTAGCTACTGATCTTTCTTGAGGTCACACTGTAACCTAAGTCCACAGGTCTGCCAACTCTTGCTTCTAATGGAGATGGGTCTAAGATGCTGAAATGAATTAGCAAGTAGCCAGAAAGCTCATTGAAGACAGTGTGTTCAATGATCTTTCCTTTCCTAGCCCCTAAATCTTTGTATTAGTGTCAATATTGAGAAATAAAACTTGCTAACTAGATCTTTCTCTCTCAAAGTATCTGTTAGAGCATCTTGTTCTTAATCAGCTGTAGCATGTAGCTCTGACAAGTGATGTTACTTGGGCATCTTCTCGATATCTCATATTTATGGACTCAGTTTGCAGATTAATTCTCGAAGCCACTATAAGGTCTTCGTTAATAAATTGTTTTGACTTCTCTTAGGTAATGCTGCATATGTCCTAGTCATGGTGGTCAGGCTAGTGTTAAGGAGTTTTCTCAGGTTGTAGCTTCCTCACGCAGTCATGTAGAATCAGCACTGAGTGACTGAAACCACCAGAGCCCTCTTTAACTTGGCTATGATTTCAGTGCCCCACCAAGAGCTGTTTTCTTTCCCTGTAGGGATCAGCCAGAGCCGGATCTCTCATTGGCTGTTGCAGCAGGGATCAGACCTGAGTGAGCAGAAGAAAAGAGCATTTTACCGATGGTATCAACTTGAGAAGACAAACCCTGGTGAGTACTTCTTTTTATTTATTGTGCCTAAATGAAAGCATAATTATTGCATTGACTCCATGTGTTAATTTGTTGAGAGAAACTATTTCATGATTTAATGTCTTCCTTTATGCAAGGAGGCAACTGTAAACCCTGAGCCCTGGTTGTAATTATGTTTAGGGTTCTGTTTCCTGGGATGGTTCACCTTTTCCTCTCAATCACCTCTTGACTTTCAGATAAGGTGATTTTCCTAGGCTCAGTTTGGAAGGATGGTCATCATATCAGTGGCTGGCTCTCTTTTCAACTGTGCACAAATAAAATTTACCTTTTTTCAATTTTTGGAAAAACATTATGTTAATTGGTGTGTATTTAGTATTTTTATTGAGTTCATTCTGTACCATTCCAATGACCTTTCCTAATGGTTTTGTGTTTTTAATGCTTGTAGCCTGGGTAATAAATTCATTTTGGAGTTTTAAGGTGAAGCTGTTCACATAACTCCTAGCAGCAGCACTAGATTGGAAAATAGGATGAAATCTTAAGGAAAAAGACCATGAAAGTCTTGGTGTTTGGAGTTGCCAAGAATAGACAACATTTCTTCCAAGATACCTTGAACAAGTGATAGATCAAGAAAAATACGATGTCATGGGAATGGCTGTCTCAGGCTGCATGTTACACAGGTCGTGGTAATGAGCCCATTCTCGGGAATATCGTTACCATTGAGATACCTTCTGTGGTACCACTGCAGAGAAAGCCCTCAGGCATGACAGGTGAGGTATGGCCCGTAACAGTGCTAGCCCTGAGCTGCAGATACAGAGTGCTGTGTGGAAGTGCCTTTGAGGGGGTGTGTACAGTAAGTTTTGTTGGTTTTTCTCAACAAAGCAAAACAGAAAATATCAATCTATACAAAGAATTTCTAGAATCTGTTCTCCCTTATTTTCTCTTTTGAAGTGTTATAGATATACAAACATTAAAAAAGACCAACAAGGTATCTAGTTACTTATGGTTACCTTATTGGATACAAAAAATTATGAATATTTTGCTGTGTTTGCTAATAATTTTTAAGATTTACTTGTGTGTCGTGTCCTAATAATGAGGGTAGTTTCCTACAAAACCACGATCTCCATTATTGTCCCTAAGAAAATGAATACTTCCACAGTTACCTAGTCCTTCATCACATCTCTCTGTTACAAGAGTGTCCTGTGTAGCTCAATATCTGTTTTCTCCCTCTCTCTCTTTTAATAAGCAGTATCAGTTTTAGGTCAGCAAATTAGAATGCTTCCCTAGACTCTTAAATTGCCCAAACTTTTTACTTTCTAATGATATAAACTCTTAAAATCTTGTTATTTTACAGACTGTACCACATTGTAGATATTTCCAAATTGTTCAGTTTTACTCTTAAAGGCCTTGGTCCTTATCTTCTCTATTGCCTTATACAGTGGGAGTTCAAGTTGAGGGCTCTATTAAATCCAGGTTGAATGTTTTTGTCAAGAACAGTGCATAGATTTTTTTTTTTTAGGGGTTCCCTGTTGTAATGGCATCAATTTACATTGAGATGCAACAAAAAATAAAACAGATTGATAGGGAAATGTGTGGTAGGATAGGGGAATATTGAGTAGTACAAGTATGATTTTGCTGTGATATTTTTCTCAATAAAGCATTAGGTGAAAATACTGTGAATAATATGAATTTCATGTTGCCACATGTCATGAGGTGTTGTCAAGTGGCAACACTATGCATGTGCTATGTTTGTTGGTGTTGTTAAGGTGGAGCTAGATCTGTGCTTTGCATTTTTAAGTAGTCTGTGTTGCTACTTTTGCTGTGGGGTGAGTACTCTGTCCTGTGCTAGGTGGTCTCAGCATTTGTTGAAGATCCTTGCTCAGTCAGTGCTTCCAGTGACATTTATAAAAATTAGATAATCTCATCCATCCTTCCTTCAACATTTACCAGCTTAAATTTTTGTGCACAAAAATTTCTTGCTTTCATATTTTCTGGTAATATCTAGAAGGATAAGCAAATCTTTTGAAAAACTCCCTCTGTACTTATTACTGTTACATATTGCAAGGCAACACCTTTCAAAGGGGAGCTGAAATGCAAATGACATGTAGTTTCATATTTTCTAGCAGCCATATTTCAGAAAGAAACAGTGAAAATTCAGAGTAATGATGTATGTTAACACATGTCACTTCAACGTTTAATTTCCAGTTTGAAAATGAAACATCCCCACTCCCTGCTTACTTCTTGTCCAGATTCTGTAGAAATCAGTCTGTGTTTTACACTTACAACACAATTTCCAACCAACTACATTTCAAGGGTCTAGTTGTCACGTGTGGCTGGTGCTTCCATATGAGGCCAACACTAGTCTAAGATATTCTTGAAGCAGCCTGTCAGACCTGATGCTAAGCAGTCTCCCAAAGCTGAGTCACAGCAAAGCCAGTGATTGACAGCAATGCGAGGTGGGTGGAGAGGGAAGGACACTTGGTGTGTGGTATGCATTATAGAGCAGCATAGGATGATAGCAGGAGTTGAGCTGTGAGGAGAACTGTGTTGATTCCCAGGATTTGGTACCTAAGACAGAGCTGGCATAGAGACTGATCATGGTTCTTAAGGCTGAATTCCCACACTGGGTAAGATTTAGGCTGTACTCCAGCTTGGGGCAGCGTGGAAGCTGTTGACATAATTACTTCACTAGAAAAGGAAGGAGAGCTGCAGCAACGTTATTAGTTGGTGGTTCTGTTCCCTTCGAACTCCTATTGTAAGAGTCCAGCTTGCAACCTTGGAATGATTTCTTTTTTATTTTTAATCTTAATTCCCATTTAACTGTATCTTGGAACCTGAGCTAGGCCCACCCAGCACTGAGACATTGGTGGCGCTGAGACATGACTCCCACCCAGCAAGATGGAATAGAGGGCACCCAAATGGGGGGCATGGGGAAAGACTAACACTCACAGGGAGCAACCCTCTGCACAGGCAGTATCTCATTTGAAGAATCAGTGCTTCTACGTGCATACGTGGGCTTTTCATTGATGTTGGGTCACTGCCTCCTTTTTAGGAACTCTTTTTGTTTAAAGCCCCAGTCTGTACTTTTTTTGTTTAAACCCCCATTATGTATGTCATAATGTACAAGTAGCTAAAAAAACAAAAAAGGTAAGTTGCTAAATGGTAAATGGTAGTTTTGTTATGATTGCAACAGTTGAATATTATTCATCAGAATTTAGGTTTCTTCTTTGTCTTTTCACCTTTAATGTAAGAGGTAATGTAGCATAGGATCCTTCCTAGATATATCTTTGCTGACTTTAAAATAACCTTTGATTTTGCCTAAAGGATGATATTTCTTCTGTGGATTCTTCAGAGTTACTGTTATCTTTGAATACAGTGTTGCACCTAAGACTAGTTTCTCTTCTCTCTGCCTGTTAAAGAGTTGCTTGAAGTGACTCATGTTCTTTGCAAGTCACTAAAATCACCTGATTGAGAACTGGTTAAATTCTCTACAAGAGAATATTGTAGGCTGGGCAGCGGTGGCGCATGCCTTTAATCCCAGCACTCCGGAGGTAGAGCCAGGCGGATCTCTGTGAGTTCAAGGCCAGCCTGGTCTACAGAGCGAGATCCAGGACAGACACCAAATCTACACAGAGAAACCTTGTCTCGGAAAACAAACAAACAAACAAACAAACAGAGAGAGAGAGAATATTGTAGAACTATATAGTTATTTTTAATGTGTTTTGTGTGAATTATATTTGCATACAGTGAAACAGCATTCAGAAGTTAAAAATACAATATATACGAAATAATATATACTATATTACTATCTGTATTCAAAGAACATGCACACACACACATAGGCAGTTTAGATTTCTGTAAGTATGGAAGTTGTCGGGAATTCTCGATTAAGAACTGATAAGAACAGCTCTGAAGAGGGACACTGGTAATAAGGGAAGCAGTAGAAAGACATAATTAAATCACCTCTGGGTCTCTGTTTTGCAGTGCTTGGGATTGAGCCCAGGGCCTTGTGCCTGCTAGGCAGGCATTTTACCATTAAACTGTGGCCTTCTGAAAATTTTAGACCATGTAGTCTGTTTGGAAAATGCATAAATGTGTGAAGGAGGGAGGGAGAAAAAGATGTGACAATCAATTTGTTCACATTGCGATAACAGGAGAAGAACTCGGTTCCTGAGATGTGGTTCGCAGCTTATCTGAAGCAGTTTGTAGAAAATAAGCCATGGGTAGGTTTATTAGGATACCACACCCTTTCCTCTGCCCAGCAGAGAGGATATCAGGAGAAATGTAAATAGCATCATGTTTTCACATACATTCTGAGAAGAAATACAAAATTAAGGCAAACCACAAGATGAAAAGCTGGCTTTTCTGTTCCCTGATACAGAAATATCTGGCAAACAAGCGGCTGTATTTGTAGATTCTTTGCCTACTCTTGGCCTTAGCAGACTTCTGGTCCTTTGTTAATCAGATTGAGCTCCACAGTCTTTTCTCTTGTCTGACTCAACCTTTACTGTGGCAGGCAGGGTTTGTGGGCACCTGCAGGCTCCAGATCCTGATCCTGCTGACTTCACATTAACACAGTCTGGTGGGAGGCTCGTGTATCGTGCACATGAAGTCAGTGTCAGATCAGAAAAAAACACCTATGCTTTGCATGTAGCATGCCAGAGCTCTGGGAATTGTGGGGTGACATGGGAGAGGATGAGAAAGACTTGGGAGAGCCGTTTCCCATTTCCGTGCATAAAGTTCTAATGGCCTTCTTCTACTAGCTGATTAATAGGGCTCACTCAATTCTAACCAGGTACACAAGATAATCATATCTATAGAATACTCACTGAAAACTTAAAATCCAATAGTAAATTATAAAAGTTTTTTTTTTTCCTCATGGGTTGAGATTTGCCAAATAAGAGTACAAAATTTTGTTTTAATGTGAACTAAGGTATAATGTGGAAAAGTGTTACTAAGTTAAGTCACTCATAAGGGAGTCCCTGGGCCTTTCTCCAGCCCAGAACTCCTGTATCGACGCAGGGAAGTTTTAAGGCTTGTCCTCACTGTTCCCGCATTCTGGTTTCTTTGCATTGTTCTGTCCAAGTCAATAATTTTAACCCTATTCTTGTATAATTCACTGCTCCCTGTCTCTCTGAAACAAAACAAAGTAGACTATGCTTTCTACAGGAAATCTGTATTTATTCCAGAATGCTCTGTGTGCCATTTTCTTGTTTTTTCCTTTTACCATGTGTGGGAGTGTACAAGTGTGTGCTTGGGGGTGGGGGGGGGGGTGGTATACATATATGTGAGTATATGTGCACCTGAGGGTTCGAGGCTGATGTCAAGAATCATCCTCAATCTCTCTCTTCCACCTTATTCATTGAGGCAAGGTCTCTCAGCCAAACCCTGAGCTCACATATATAGATAGTCTCGCTACCTGGCTTGCTCTGGGGAGCCCCAACTCCACATTCCCAGGCTGGGTGAGTATTTACAGATTTAAAATTGCCCAATTTTACCTTCTGTATAAATAGTCTTGATTTCTTTCAAAGTCACCGGGTCACTACTTCCTTCTCTCGGTTTTATCCCCATTTTCCTCCCTCTTTTTTTTTCTTCCTTTTAATCTAATTTTAATCCTTTTTCACAGGAAGTCTAGACAATGCAGAATATTTTTAAATGACTGATACTATTAACAGTAAATCCCAATAACAAGAGAGCACTTCTGTTGTACATTGACTGTCCACTTCCTTCAGCCTCTTAGGATTCTGCCCTCTGTTAATATGCATGCTGGACCATGTTGGAGCTCACTGATTTGTTCTTCTCTTCTCCCTCTTCTCCTCTATTCTGAAACTCTTTATCCCTTCACCAGATCAAACCTGGGGTAAGAAAACCCATGGCCTTATCTAGTCTTTCTGCCTTATTCTGACCAGCTGTGATGTAGTTAGCTTGGCTATTTTGGACATTTTCTTTCTGGAACAAAATTTGTATAATTTTAATTAGGTAAAGTCTTACCCTAAACTCTTGCCATGCTGTAATCCTTGCTTGCTTTGCGAAAAAAATAGGAGACTTTCAACCAGGCCCACGTTATTCTGACAAACTTAAAAAAAAAAAAAAAAAAAACTAGTTATTTATGTTTGCCTGCATGTGTGTCTGTGCACCATTTACAAGCCTGCTGGAAGTTACAGACAGTTGTGAGTCATCAGCTGGGGCTTGGAATTAAACCTGGGTCCTCTGGAAAACAGCCAGAGCACTTAACCACTGAGTTCTCCAAGTCCTTTTCTCAAACCCATTGGCCATAATATAAAACATCCAAACTCACTGGTGATAGTGAAGAGATTCAAAACTACTGGCCTTGATACAAAAGATTCACACTCATTGACTGCTTGAAAAAAGCTTACAAACTTAACTACATGTAAATTAAGATAAAAAATATACCATAAATAAAGATATAGCAGATGACAAATGAAAGAATAATTATACTATGAGACTAATAATTGATGTTGTATCTCCACTCAGATAAAATCTATAGCTCAATAGGAAAAGGGCCATAAACTAACAAAAGATAGATAACAGTCATTAAACAAGAAAGGTGCTCATTTTTACTATTAGTAAGGCATTTTATCTTAAAGGTATTTTTTTTCTGCCAAATTGGTGCATTTTAGTAAGTAATATGTGTAGTATTTGGAGGATGTGATGAAATAATAGCTGGAGATGGTTGTGATGACTTGTATTAATTATCTGCTGTGATACAAACCATGCTATATCTTTTTTTTCAGCTTAGCACAACAAAGATTTATTTTCTGTTTCTATAGACCAGGAATCCAGGAGCAGCATCCTCATGAGCTTTTAGTCAAGCTATCAGCCAGGGCTGCAGTCACTGGAACTGGATGGTCTCCTTGCAAGGCCACTCACATGGATGTTGGCTGTCCCTGTTCCTTACTGCCTCATGGCCAGAGACAGCAGTTCCTCAAGAGCCCCATCATCCATTCTCACCTAGCACCTCCTCCCTTGAGCAAGTGATCTGAGAAAGAGAGGTACCCTAGTGTCTTAGTTCTGGACAAGACATGCTCTCACTGCCACATGCTTTTGCTCACACAGTCTAATCCTGAGTAGAGAATGGGAAAGCACCACACAAAGGCACAGCTCCCAGGAGGCAAGGAAGGACCCATGAAGCCCTTGGGGGCTGACTACCAACATGCCTTTTTTGGGACTATATGTCTGGGTATTTATTTCTCTTTGTCAACTGGGTATAGAAGTATCCATATGATGTGTATTGTGGCTTGGTGTACAAGATAGCTTTTCCCCCCACTGTCTGGCACTCGGGTAGAATGGCAGAAGCACCTGGAGATCATGTGAACAACTTTCGCTCTATGCAGACTTTCCACATGGCTAGTGAGTGGGGTTGATCTTACTCCTTAAAGGGCAGCTGAGCCAGCATCCCAGGGGACAGACTGAAGGGGCAGGGCTCCCTGTGATCTAGCCTTGGACTTTCTCCATGTCATAGACCTGCCCAGATCTAAGACACAGCAGGAGACATGACCAGGAGACAGAGCTTACTGTGAAGGTCCGTCTTTAGACCTGCCCTGGGCAGTTATGGTTGCGAGAAATGATGCTGACCTGTTGTAAAGCAGCAATGCATATAAAAAGAAAGTATTCTACTGGGTTTGTTTGAATATAAACTTAATGAAATTTGTGTATGGACTGGCTTCATGATATGTGGGGGAAAATAGAGAAATTAATAATGAGATGAATCTGAGACATTTTAGCTTTCAATTTGAAGAAGAGATTTACTAAGAAGGGAGAGATAGAAAAACAATTGTTTAAAAAGGAGAATCTGGATTGTTTAAACCGTTGGTCTTCGTCCAAGAAAATACAAGTACAGATGTTCCCATTAGGAAGGGAGTTTAGCTGGGCCACTTTTATGTCCCTGTGGTTCCAGCTACTTGGGAGGCAATGGCAGGAGAAACTAGTAAGGCCAGGAGTTAAAGGCCAGCCTAAGCAACATAGAATGACCCTGTCTCGGAAAGGGTGTGTGTGAAATAGGGACATTATCCATGGTGTGTTGCTTGATAATATGACAGAAAACAGTTCCTATCATGAAGAAACGAGTGTCTGTTGTGTGAGATTAACGTATTCATATTCATATGTACATAAACCCCTTAAATTCTAACCTGCCTTTCTAGGACTATGTAAGAGTTTGATTAGCCTGGCTTGATTGCATGCCCATACTACCAGTACTTGAGAGGTGGTGGCAGGAATTCTGTGCTGCCTTACTCCTTGTCTCAAAAGAAAGAAAGAAAAAGGGTTTGGATTAAACTATAGTCAGGGGACTTTTTGGAGGCTTTCATCAAAAGAGTGCTATAACTCTAATTGTGTTTGGGAAAGATGAACTTGGCAGTGCAAGGAGTAGAAGAAGAGGGGGAGGCAGAGCCTTCCGTGGAAGCATGTCTAGCTCTGTGTACATCTCTGAGCTCAGTCCATGGAAGCCGCAGACAGTGTGGCTTCTGGTTTGAGTCTGGTGTCGAGTCCAGAACAAGCCACGGGAAAAGATACGATAAATTGAGAATTAGTGAATTATAACTGGCTGAAGCTATTTGAGAAAAGCTGGTCTAAATTAGTGAACCCTCTCAGATTGAAGTCATTAGAGTCAGAGCTGAAAGAATACGGTATTAGTAGGTGATAGACCTGTAGAGACTGGATCCTGCTCACTATAAAGGCTTGTGAAATGTCATCTTATTTTCTTTGCTACTGTATTCGACATTTTTCTTTTTTTTTTTCTTTTTTTTTTTTGGTTTTTCGAGACAGGGTTTCTCTGTGTAGCTTTGCGCCTTTCCTGGAACTCACTTGGTAGACCAGGCTGGCCTCGAACTCACAGAGATCCGCCTGGCTCTGCCTCCCGAGTGCTGGGATTAAAGGCGTGCGCCACCACTGCCTGGCGACATTTTTCTTTTTGAGAGGGGGTTTCATGTAGCTGGGACTAGCCTTAACTCCTGATCCTCCTGCCTCTGACTTCCAAGTGGTGGGATTACAGATGTGTACCACATCTGGCCTAGTGTAGGAATTTCAAAAAAGGCTCAACAGGGGAAAGTCCAGTGCAGAATTCTTGTGGAGGGATAGGTGTCACGCTTTGTGTGAAATGCACTGGAGGAGCTCATGGAAACATGGGCTGATGGAAAGATGTTAGGATGACCTTTACAGGCTTTTGAAGGAAGAGGCTTTTACCTATTTGTGTTTTTCTTTTGGTCATTATTTTATTTTATGTGTGTAGGTGATTTGTTTGTGTGTATGTCTGTGAACCATGTGTGTACAGTACCTGCAAAGGCCAGAAGAGAGCACTGGATCCCCTGCAACTGGAGTTACAGATGGTTGTTAGCTGCCATTTAGGTGCTGGGAATTGAACCCATGTCCTCTGGAAGAACAGTCCATGCTCTTAATCATTAAGCAATCTCTACAGCTCTTTGATCATGTTTTTAAAAATAAAATATTAAATATATTGGCCTTCAAGTCTCAGTGAACAAAAGGTTTATACTCAGACCTCATTTTCTTGTTTTCATGGTATCTTTGTAATACTGATTTTTTTTTTTTAATTGCAAGAAATTTGCTTTAAAAAATGTCTTGTTTATTCCAGGGGCTACGTTAAGTATGAGACCTGCCCCCATTCCAATAGAGGACCCTGAATGGAGACAAACACCTCCCCCAGTCTCTGCCACACCTGGAACCTTCCGACTCCGACGAGGGAGTAGATTTACCTGGAGAAAGGAGTGCCTAGCTGTCATGGAAAGGTACGTCTCCTGTTCCTGTGAGATGCTTCCCAGACAGGTTTCATATCCAGCAAATAATCTGAGGTCCAGATTTTAGCTCTGAAGATATTACAGACTATTAGGATTGCTCTGTTGTTGAAATAAGAGAACTCACAAAGCTGGGATTAGCATCTGTCGGCCTATTTTACTTACATACAATTTAATCTTGTCATCAGTAGCATAACAGTTTTTAGAGTTAATATTTTTAAATGTGTATTTTTGTATTGTTTTGAAAAAACTCTGAAGTCTTTATTTTCATCAGTATTAAACTGTAAAGGAGGGAACTGAGACTCACTTTTCTGAAACAGGGGGTGATCTCAATGAACGGATCTCCAAAGGTTTAAAAATATATTTAATAGAACCTGATCCATATCTGATTTTAGTACTTTTGACAGCTTCATTTTCCCCATCTGACATGGTGTAAATACATGCTTATAACACATTGCTGTATTTAGTGTGTGTGTGTGTGTGTGTGTGTGTGTGTGTGTGTATGTGTGTATGTATGTATGTATGTATATATATATATAGGTATGTGTATATATATAGTAACTGTCCTTTAAGTACCCCTCCCCCTCCAACACACACACCTTCCATAAGTGAGATCTCTAGGACTCTGATTTGGTGGAGAGGTTGACAGGCAGCAGGGTCATTCTTATCTAATCTGACCACTAGTGTGGCATCCCGGACAAAACACCTGATGCGGGTTCAGAAGTACTGAAACCTGACTGGACTGATGAAGTCAGAGACCAAAAGTGTATCTTCTTGTCTCTAAATGAAAGTGTCAGTAGCCAGCAACATGCTACCCAGGATGTTGGCCATCTGTCTTTTACCTGCTTCACGGCCGTTTCCCGGTGCATTGACATCACTGCCTGACTGAGGGCAAGCTTTACAGTGTTGAGTTCAAATGACATAGAAGTGAATAGGTAGCCATGGAACAGCCAGTTATCCATTGCTCTGAAGTACTCTCTCTCACTCTGGACTGTGGCTAAGAGTAGAGCCATGTGTTTAATAATGAGCCCATTTCTTCCTGATTGACGGAAGTGAAAGGGGGGACTCACGTTCTGGGGGTCTGATTGCAGTCTGCTCCATTTTGCTCATCTCTAAAGTTTGATTCTTTCTGAAAGTTTGTTTCAAATTTTCCACATAGCTGATGGGAATGAAAATAATGCCTAGCTTAAATTATTCACAGCATTCATATTTTCCTCTGGGAAACATAATAAATTTTGATATATTTTGTGCCTAGTATGGGTTCTAATTATGCTGATGATAACAATCAGTTTAATTTTTCATTAAGATATTAAAGTACATTTGTCACATAAAGTCAATATGAGAAAGGATTAAACATTGAGGAAACAGTAGATGACATTCTTCATGTGTTTCAGGAATCAAACCTCAGGGACTCAGAGACTAGGTTGCCCTTTACTTCTGAATTTTTCTTCCAAGGTAGCAACATCCATCCATAGAATCATACTGACTAAATTTTAGACATAAAGATATACAACATTTTATCTTTTTATAGGTTCCTATTTAGTTCTAACATATTTTTAACCTTAATTTTAATTAATAAATATCTTCACCTTAGGACTTAGTTTTCTCTTGCTTCATTTCATCCTAACCTGGCACAGCTAGAGAGGATGAGGCTTAGGCCTGAGTTCTCAGAAATGCTGAAAGCCTTTCAACGCACCGAGTAGCAATTGTCTAGATGATCTGCATCCTCCAAAAAAATGGAGGTTTGTCTCAAAAGTGGAATATGAACTCCCCTGGCCTTAGAGTAGTGCATCATGCTTTTTGGCATAGACTGAATGTTTGGATAAATACATAGCCCAGCCAAGTAAGCCTTATTCAAATATGTTAGTATAGAATAAAAGTAAAAATTATTCCATTCCTCACTCCATACAGGAAGATAAATTTCAAATCAATTAGAGAAGTGAATTCATATACATAGAAGAAGAAAGCATAGGGTACCCTTCCTATTCTGGAAATGGGAGAGATGTTTCCTAACTGAGCCTCATAATCCAGAAGAGAAAGGAAATGATGGATAAATATAAATGGAAAGAACTGTTGGGGTAAAACTAAGCAAAGTAGTAAAGTAAATTAGAATAAAATATTTGCAACTTTTATTACCCTTAATATGTAAAGAGTTCCTAAATGAGGTAAGACCAACAGCTCTACAGAAAGATGGGCTAAAATAAGGGAGTGGCACAAAAATAATGCAACAGCCTTTGAAGCACATACAAAAGTCTAAAGTTATTGTTATTACTACTTGTTTTGGGTTTTCTTGAGACAGTCTCACTTTAGCCCTGGCTAGCCTTCAACACATGGCAGTTCTCCAGTACCAGCCTCCAGATGTTGATTTACAGATGTAAACCACTGCCTCCCAGCAAAGATGCTAACCTTGAATCAAGAGTGATTCAAATTAAAACTCCATTGAGATACCATTCTTCACCTGTCACCCTGGCAAAAATCACAAAGTTTGGCCAAGTTTTCTCTTGATTCTGCTCTAGAGAAATGGCATTCTCATCCTTTGTTGTGAAAATGCAAAGTAGAGCAACTTCCGTGGAACAGAGCTAGGCAGTGTCAGGGGTAGTTACTAATGGACTTACCGTTTGCAACAGCAGTCCTGTTTCCAGAAAATTATGTCAAAGATACGCTGACAGAAATACAAAAGAACACTGTTACATAGTATCAGAATGCCGACAAGAGCCTGAATGTAGTGGTCTGGGTGAATAAGTATAAAACCCAAAAGGCCATCGACATGGCTCAGAGGTAAAGCATGTACTGTGCAAGCCTGGCAGCCTGAGTTCAGTCCCTGGGACCTGCATAAAGGTGGAAGGAGAGAGCCACCTCCACAAAGTTGTCATATGACCTCCACATACAAGTGTAAATGCCCTTAAAACAAATAAACAAACAAAAAATAACTGTATTGAGAGAGAGCTCACTTGTTGAAAGTGCATTTTTTTTTCATTTTTAAAAAAGACTTATTTATTTATATTTTATCTATATGGGTGTTTTTTGCATATATGCATATATATGTACCATGTGTATGGAGGCCATGCCCATGGAGGCTAGAAGAGGGCATCAGAAACCCTGGAATTGGAATTACAGGAGGTTGTGAGATGCCATGTGGGTGCTGGGAACTGAACCTGGGTCCTCTGTAAGAGTAGACAGTGTTCTTAACAACTGAGCCATCTCTCCGATCTCTACTCTCCTTACTTTCTCACTGTGTAACAGTGATTTCTAAGATTGCTGCAGTCATAGTCTTGACTCCGAGTCAATTTCTGGTGGAACAGAAACTAAAAGAAGGCCCTAGCTAGGATTAAACTAAGACAGCCCGGCTGTAGAGTCTGTGTTCTTTATCATTGTGATATGCTACCTATTTTCCAAAGCCTTGTGCATATGTTGTAAAAAGTCTCTCAAGAAATGACGGGAAGAATCTTTGTCCCCACACGACATGTAACTTCTTGCCAAGATCCATGAACAATCTGAACTTTCCTCCTCATTGTCTATATTGGTTATTTTTCTTCATGATGTGATAAAACACCCAACAGAAGTAATCCAAGGAAAGATGGGTTTATTCTAACCTCCAGTTCAAGGGTACAGTCCATCTTGGTGGGTGAGGCGTAGCATCAGGAGCCTTAAGGGGCAGGTCACATCGCATCTGCAGTCAGGAAGCAGAGATAGATGGTTGTCGTCGTCGTCTTCTTCTTCTTCTTCTTCTCCTCCTCCTCCTCCTCCTCCTTCTCCTCCTCCTCCCCCCCCCCCCAGTCAGGAAGCAGAGATAGATGGTTGTCGTCATCGTCTTTTTCTTCTCCTCCTCCTCCTCCTCCTCCTCCTCCTCTTCTTCTTCTCTCTTTTTTTTTTTAGATTTTTTTTTACCATTTCCTATTGTGTGTCTCTGTGTGTGGCATGTATATGCAGGTGTATATTTTAAAGCATTGAATGTTTATCTGTAGTCACACATCTATCACCACATTTACTTCTATTATGCCCCTAGGACCCTGGGGGTCTAACAGAAGCTACTCTCTTTTTTTCCCATCCCTTTTTAATTTTGTGTAAACATTAATCTGTGTACAAATTTGCCTGCTTTGGACATTTTAATATTATGAGTGAAGGAAGCCAGATTAGGAGGCTGTTAGAATAACCTGGGCCTGAGTGATGAGGGTCCAAATGATCGTAAGAAGACAGAGGGGTTAGATAGGGATAGAAGGAGTAACTATCAGAAAGGAGTCTGAGGAAAGACATAATAGAACTAGCTGTCGGTTGAGGATGGGAATGACAGCATCCAGAGCATCAAAGGAGCTTGGCTTGGTGATGGTCTGGGCACTCACCGAGGAGACAGCGTCTGTACCATTAGAAAATGGACTGGCCTTGGAAAAATCATTCAACATTCCTAGACTCCAATTCTTATATCTATAAAATTAGCTGGGCGGTGGTGGCACACGCCTTTAATCCCAGCACTCGGGAAGCAGAGCCAGGCGGATCGCTGTGAGTTCGAGGCCAGCCTGGGCTACCAAGTGAGTTCCAGGAAAGGCGCAAAGCTACACAGAGAAACCCTGTCTCGAAAAACCCAAAAAAAAAAAAAAATGAAGATTTAGATATAATGACAGAATAAAGGAAGATAAACTTCAGAATTAGACAAGGTTTGATCCCAGTCCCTCGCCCAACCCTTGTATTGAATTGTTGGGAACTTAGGGCCTTGGTAAGTTGAGATGTGGAAGTTAATGGAGAGGAGTATGAAGCAATAGTAGAGTGCCGCGCCCACCCACTCCCTCCCCACCCCCACCCCCACCCCATTTATTGCTGAGAGCATTTGTTTTCAGGGTAAGCCCGTTCCAGCATTAAGTATGAAGTTACCTGACATGACTCTCAGAAAGCACTGGAAATGGGAACGCCATCATGAAGTTATTTACTACAGGTGATGTCTGGTTACATCTTTCAACTTATACAGTTACTGCGTTTTTTTGGGTTTTTTTGTTTGTTTG